CACACACACACACACACACACACACACACACACACACACACACACACACACACACACACTCAGAGGATCTGGAGCATCTCCTTCCAGACTTATCCTACCTCTGGGCAGGGTGTTTTAAAAGGGAATCAATAAACCTCAATTTTGAGTGTTCATCTCTGGGGATTGAGGAGGGTGGGTGGGCACTCTACCTGGAAGCGGAGATGCTGCTGCAAATCTCGGAGATCCAGCCTCATGGCCCACAGCTGCAACCTCTCTGAACTGGTCCAGAACCCCTGGCTCCCCAGCCCTCCCAACAGGGTATGGAAGGGGTGAAGTGTCATGGAGAGGAAGAGGAGTCTTTCTGGGTCCTGTGGAAGGGGAGGGAAGGCATCAGGAAAGGCCTGCAGGCCAAGGATGACCCACTTCAAACCCAACCTCATCTGTATTTGAGTCCCATTCCCAGCATGAACTCCAATCCCCATTCCGTCCCCATATCTATTCTCATCCTTAACCACATCTCCATCCCTACTCCCTTCCTATGTTCATCACCATTCCCATCTCCACTGTGCCTGATCTCTATCCTATCTCCTTTTCCAACCTCATTTTCAGTCACACCCGAGCTCATCTCCAACCCCCAACCCCATCTCCATCCTTCTGTCAATCTCTACCCACAACCCCATTCCATTCCCTTCTCTACCGCCCCGCCCCATCTCCATCTCCTCACTTGTTTTCATTCTGTCTTCAACTTCTTTCCCATCCTTGCTCCCATTCTTATCCCAATTCCATCCCTCTTTCTTGTGTCCAGCCTCAATGTCACCATCTCTCCATCCCATCTCCAACTCTACCCAACCCCATTCCATCCCCATCCTCACCAGCGATCCCCATTCTTTCTCTATCCCCCACCTCATTTTCACTCTCATCCCCAACCTTCTTCCCATCCCTAACCTCTTACCATTCTCACTCGTAACACCAACTCCACGCCTCCTCCATACTAATCTCTAACCCCAATCCCATTCTGTTCCCATCCCCACATCCTTTCTTGCTCAGCTTCATTCTTACCTTCTTCCTAATGCCATTTCTTTTTTCCAGCCTCATCTTTATACTCAGTGACCTACCCAGCCTCATCCAGATTCTCTCCCTCAATTTATCCCCAGATCCATCTTCAATTCAATCCCCAACTTTATCTCCGTCCCCCCAACCCAGCCTTATTGCCAGTTTGCCTGTCCCACCCAGCCAGTCCGCCACTCACAGAGAGGCCACGCCAGGCCTGGAAGGTCAGGGAAACGTTGGGGAGCTGCTCTCCCAGGGGCAGAAGGTCCAGGTTCACTCCTGGCAGGTGAGATTCAGCCTATGGGGCAAGGTCTTTTAGTGGGGGCCCGAGGGGATTGGGATCTTCCCATCCCCAGAGCCAGCTGCATTAGGGAGACTCACAAAGTCACGGGCCTGGACCCGAACCTCGGAGAGCAGCTTCCTGGAGAGATGCAGGCTGACCTTGAACTCCCTCTGCAACTCCTGCAGGCTCCGGAGGGGCCTCCCTGGGGGCCTCGGAAATCCCCAGACACCAGCTCGAGCCAGGAGCAAGGAGAGTAGCAAAAGGCTGAGCCCTGGAGCAATGAGGAGGGGGTGGGCAAGATGAGGGGAAGAGCTGGAGAACTCAGGAAAAGGAAGGGACCGTGCCTTTTCTGAGCCTGTGCTACAGGCATGCTCTGTGTGTCACCTCACTGACCCCTCAGAACCACTAACAAGCTGTTGAGACACCATATGGCATCTCTGTACAGTGAAAGGAAAGTGCCCCTTCCCCCAGGCAGACACAGTCTTGCACAGAGTGCCCGCCTTTGCAAGCAGATCTCGGGCTGCATCTTGAACCCCACTATCTCCCTTAGCCAAGTGTCTTTCTCAGTGAACAAACTGCACAAGGGTATGTGGCAGCCTGGGTGCTATTATTCTCCCTATTTTGCAGATGGGGAAAGTGAGGCTCAGTAAGGTTGACTTGCCCAAGGGCACATAGCCAGAGGGTGAGGGGACCAGGACCGGATTCCAGATCTGCCCAAATGCAGAGCCTGCATGCTTCCCCCAGGGAACTCAGAGGAGACCGCCACCTCCCCTGGCGTGGGCACGGTCTGTTCTGCCAAGGATTCCCCGGGCTCAGCCAGGCGGCTCTGATGGCCTGAACCAGGGCCCCAGGGGTGGGCTGATGATGCTGAGGCTCTATCCCAGGGAGTCAGAAGGACAGATTGGTCCAGCCTCCCCCAAGGCAGGTAGATCACTCTGCAGGGTGGGAGGAACACGGGGTGCCAGGAGAGGGATGAGGGTCTGGAATGGGAGGCTGAACCTCTGTTTCTCATTTGGGTTCTTCCCTTGAACAAGTCACGTCTTATCTCTGTGCCTCAGGCTCCCATCTGTAAAATGGGGGAGTCAGACTGGCTGATTTCTGAAAGTGCTTCCTGCCCTGCATTTCCTGGAAAGAAGGAAGAGGGGCAGTGGGGCTGGAGCTCTGGGAAGAGGGCAGTTTCTTCTCCAGGGAGAGGAAATCTAGCAATCACTAGGGAGTTACACAATTCTCGAAACCCAAACCAAAACTGGTCACTAAGTTGAAGTCTATTCCTG